TTTTTTTTTTTTAATGACCAGCATGCCCTTTGGAATTTAAGGTTATCTGGACTATGAAGATTGCAATTTACACAACATCAATATTACATGTAATAGTCTCTAGTTCATGTGCAGTTTTACTTTCTATTCATTTAGTTGTGAGGGGAATACAATGGAATGATTTAAAGTGATTGCCTTTCCTAGAAAAAAACTTTTTAGGCTGTGAGTCCTAGGGGATGGATCAATGAAGGTAGTGGATGGAGAACTATGTACTAAAGGGCAGAAAGAAATTTTCATTTTATATATTGTATACGTATGTAATGGAGAGATGTTTTGTATTCTAAGCCTGGAAGGAAGAAATGATGGTCAATGGAAGATTATAGCTGAGTTCCTTCTTTTTAGTGAAGTTTAATGATGACGAAACATATAAGATTAGGATTAGGATTAACTCATCATCACCCCTCTTTACTCAAATTTAGTTCTTACAGCACCTTGTATCTTAATTATTAATGTAACACAAACTATCACCTTGTTGCCAATCATGACTAAAAAATAAAACTTTAAATGACCACCTCACTTCAGTTTATTCTCAAAATTCTTCATATTGCCCCCAAATTATATCATAAGTCCTGAAACTGGCAAAAAGCACAATTGCTGAAAACCAAGTATATAATCAATCCAAAATCTTGGCACAAGATAACTGGGTCCCTTTGGAAAAGCATGTCAAATGGTTGTTTCTTCTACTCCTATACTAGATTAATTCTTCTTACTTTTTAAGAAACAAGGTTAAACTCAAATGATAGAGTTTAATGTAATAGGCATCATGTCAAGTTACATGATTTCACATTCCCCCAAGCTATCTCTCAAGTAAATTAAGAAATGAGTAAACTATCGTAGTAATAATAAGTCGATCCTCATTTATCTGGGCACAAATTACTTGTCATCAAAGTTTTTCCTCACTATAAACCAAGTCTCCCATAAATTGGATGATGTTGGGAGAGGAACAGCCTTTGTTTGTTAAAAGAATACGCATCCCTGAATTTTCATGAATGAAGGTGAGGAATAGCAGCCATAACAGTGCCTATGAGATGTGTGGTTTATCTAAATGCCAGTTTCTGAGAATATGCTCTAAATCCAAATATCAATAGCTTTTTAGATGATGGATGCCTTTAAGACTTACAACCAGGAAAACAGTTTCGCACACATTCACAATTTTGTCTGGAACTTCAAGGACTTCATTATTTCCTTTAATCTTTTTTAATAGACTCAATTGTTCCCTGAGTCAAAGTTTAAGGTCTGTTGTTAAGGATAATCAAAATTTGACTGTCAGTTACCTTCTTTGCTCAGAACAACAAAGTGGGAAGTGTTCATGAAAAGGCAAGGAATAGCTCTGCTTCCATGGACAAGCTGCTTCTTTTAGGGAACTCAGTTGTATCATCATCTCTTTGTAATAACTGTATATATTGTTAAAAAAAATCTTCAGTGATAGGTAATATGTGACTGTAGATAGGATTTGTAACCCATTTAATAATATTTCGTCTCTCTTAATCAACTATGACAATAATGGGAATAATGACCAAGCAAGTTCAGGTTAGAAACAATAAGGAATTTTCCTCTTTGGTGTCTGTGTATTCTTAGTTCCATTCAGTCATTTCACTTGTACAATACCAACAGTCTCTTTTGAATTGCAATAAGCTTCCTTCTGGAACTAATGATATAAACTTAAACCAAATTTAAAAAAGAAAAAAATTTAAGCACAGGATAAAAAAATACTTCTTAGAAAAAAGATATAATTCCAGAATCGGAAAATAATTTACCAATGCATGAATTAATGTTTTCCTAGAAATGATGATCTTAATTTACATAAATGGTTTCTGTCAAAGTTAATGACTTCTAGGATAAACAAAACTCGGAGTTTAGGAGTTGGCTCTCAGTTAATATTTTTTCTGGTTATGAAATACTAAATAATAAAGAAATAAACAAACATCTAGCTATTTAAGTTGATAGGGTTCAAACACATATATTATAAAGAAAGTAATAAACAAAATGCTTGTTTGAACAATCAAGTGTTTAGCTATATAAATATAGTAGGTTCAGGTTTCTTAACTCATTGTGTCTTGGATTTATTTCATAGAATTAATCTAAACTTAAAGCAGCTGGTTGCATGAGATACAAATTTCTTCTCTGCCCACAGGAGACCTAAGGGATGGATTACAAATTAAATAATCAAAGATTTGAGCACCAGTATAAAGGGTAGGACGCTCATAGGCAGCAATTAGAGGTAACATTAAAGAACCAGGTGTACTCTTGAATCCATAATGTATCACTTGGAGCCTGAGCAGTGATGGCTGAAAAATAGGCAATACCAAACACCACACATGTCCAAGTCCAGAAGCCCATTCTTTCCCTCAGCTTGGCTAACATAGTCACACTTTCAACTGTGTTTCTACAACTAGAATATTCTTATCCCCCATAGTCCCCACCAAAAAAAGAGAAGGATGAAACCTAAGCACTAAGGAAAAGACATTTTTTCTGCTTTTATTGTGAGTTCTAACATAACTTTTGTTAAACATAGAGCACGTGAACACATGACAGTTCCTTCATTTGTTCTCACATGGAGCTGATAGAGGAATACTTGAGAGGAATGTTTCTAAAGCCATAGATAGCTTCTCAATTTATTTCATTTTTTAAAAATATGACAAAACATTAGAAAAAAAGTTTCTTAAGTTGTGAGAATATCAAATATTACCCATCAATCCCTGAATCATGCTATTCAAAGTGCTTAAATCTACACTAAAAATAGAACAAAAAATGTACTCCCAAGGCAGCTAAATTAACACCTATGGATGCCTAAAATATGACTATGGTTTGATAACTTCCTCTACATTTATTCCACACTTCCATCGTGCACTTAAAAAGATAAAAATAGAAAAAAAACCCAAAGAAATAAACCAGGCCATTGCCATGTTTACAATTTTCTGAGCACTGGGGGAATCTAAAATCCAGTCCAATGAGGTTCACTGCCACCAGTCCCTGACAGGTGTCCATAGTACATAGTAAACAATGGCCTTCTTGGATTCTGAAAATAACCCAATGTGCAAAGCTGACCTTAAAGTTTATATATCCTTGCAGCTTCAGTTCTGGTTTGTGAAAAAAGTGACACAGGTCCAAGAGGAGCACGGGTATAAAGAACAGATTGTAGAGAAGGACCCAGGAGAGTTGTCAGGGAAATAAACATTTTCTTAAGCAAATAAAAATCAATGCACATCCCAAGGCTCCTTTACCTTGTCACACAAAAACTGAGACTGTTGCATTGTTAAAAAATTCGTATACTCATCCCTTATACATTTGCAATTCAATTTTACCCTCCCTAGTGAACTCTTTTGAAATTTACATTTTTTTTTTTTTTGTGGCTAACTCACATCTTACTATTGTGACCAAAACTGTAAAATTGTTTTCTCATTATATGGTGGTTGGAGTAAACTGAACATACAATAGTCACTACACAAGCCCACAGACGATGACTGGAATGAAAGTTCCTTCAAGAATCACTAAAGTAATGTATAAGTTCTATTATCAGTGTTTTCATCACATTCATTTTATTAAACTAAAAGCTATTTAGGTAATATTTCCCTTTAACAATCTGCCCTCTGCAAATTCCTTTATGACTAATTTTGCATTACCCTCAACATAAATACATATTAGCTGTTTATGTCACTGATTTCAAACATAAAGCTGCATGGTTGGGATGAATTTCCTGGGAGCATCAGCTTTCTGTTTCTGAAAGATAGAGCTATACAGTTAAAATAAAATGATTCTTTATACAGTAAAAGTAATTATTTTAAACACTTTTCTCACCTAATTTAAAAACTACTTTTTTGTAAATAACGTTTATTTTGAAAGTACTGATTTTTGTAGGTGTAACCTCCTGAGTTCTTATTTAAACACTTTGATATGAATAAGTGTTGCTTATGTTCACAAACTGAAACCAAACATTTGATTCTGAATGTATCATTGAAAATTAAATACAGTGAATTAACATTTAAATACAAGGAGACCCCATAATAAGTTTCACAGATTTTTTCTGACTCTTTAGAAAATAACATTTTGTATAATACAAGGTGACAAAACATATTTGATGACACATCCTGTCCTTCCCTTTGGTTTGGAAGCCTTCAATGTAAATTTCATTTTGACTTGTGTTGATTCACCCTTTTAAGTTAACTTGCCTGGCGTTTGCACATAATATCATTTGCAGAAAAAATATATAGAGAAAAGAGGAAGTAGAATATTAAACAAAAACAGCCACAAACACATTCATGCCTTTCCAGGAAGTGATCAAATATAGGGCTTGATTTTTTTTTGTTTTGTTTT